GTTTCTTAAGATACTGGAGTGGCTTGCCAGTTCTTGCTCCAGGTGGATCGCGTTTAGTCAGAACTCTCCACGATGACCTGTCCATCTTGGGTGTCCCTGCACGGCATAGCCCATAGCCTATAGCTTCTCGGAATTACTCAAGGCCCTTCGCCACCACAAGGCAGCAATCCGTGAAGGGGAGAGAGAGAGAGAGAGATAAAGTACTCGTCACTCAGGAACTTAATGGGCACTTCTGTCTATCTCCCGCCCCTGTCAGGCCCGCGGCTTGAGAGGTCCGAGTGCCCACAGCTGAATGTCGCGTGTGTACACGGGCTGCGGGAGTCCAAACAGGAGGGGCAGCGGGTGCTGGGAGAAGGCGAGGGAGGCTCGCCGACGGCTCTCTGCCTCGTCTCTCATCTTACTTGCCGCCGCCGCCGCCGCCGCCGCCGCCTCTTCCTCCTCCTCCTCCTCCTCCTCTTCTGCCCCCACTTCCCTCAGGCTGAGTTCATTCACTGGGATTGGTTTCAAATGACGCCATCTCTTTATTTTTACACCAATGACCTAATCCCAGCAGCGGCAGCAGCCTGCAAGTTTACTGACCAGCAAAAACTCTTTTCTCCCTCTTTCTCCTCCTCGCTTGTTTTGTTCCTTACATTTAATAATTAAGCCTGTTCTGCCTTTCTTCAATTACACCTCAGCTCTCTATCGAGATAATATTTTTCCCCTTTTCTTTTCTCTCCTTTCCTTTCCCCAGCTCCAGGTCATCTTCAGTGAGGGAGAAAAAGCTAGAAACGCCCCCCCTTCCCTCCCTTTCTCCCTCTCTCTCTCTTTCTTTCTCTCTCAGTCTTCCAACCCTCCCTGAAATTAAAAAAAAAAAATGCCCTCCCTCCCGGAGAATCCGAAGCGCAGAAAAATTTCCCAGCGGCGTTGAAGAAGGGGAGACTCTTGGGAGAGTCTGGCAGAGTGAGAAGAGGCTGGTGGCAACTCCTAGTCCTTTTAAAGCCAAGACAATTTAGAGGGGAAAAAGTAAGTGTTTGGGAAAGGAAAACGCAACGAGACAAGGGGGTTGGCAAGAAGGATGTGGGGAGAGTTTTCTCTTCTTCCCCAACCAGGATAAAAGTCCTCTTCCAAGGCAAGATTTCTTCTTCTTCTTCTTCTTTATATAGCTTCTCCTCTCTACATGGGCAAGATTCCTCTCTCTTTAAAAAAAAGAAAAAGAAAATGTGAACGAAATAAAAGATTATCCAGCCCGTGGTAAAACACAAAAACCCGGTTCCGGCTTTCTTAGTATTTTGTCCACTCCATGCTTCTCCATTGTTGACTTGG